CCAGCCCGGCCGCCCCGGGCCCGCACGGCGGCGGGGGCGCGCCGGGGCCGCTCGGCCCCTCCGGGGGACCGGGCCCCGCTGTGGCGCTGCCGGCCTCGCCGCCGCCGCCCTCGCCGCCTCCCTCCTCCGCCGTCACCGCTACCGCCGCGCCGACCGCCTTCTCCATGGCCGGAGAGGAAGGAAAAGGAGGAGGAGGAGGAGGAGGAAAAAGAGGAGGAGGCGCCCGCGGCCGCCGCTGCCTCGGTCACCTCTAGCGCCGCCGCCGCCGCGCCAACTCTCGCGATACTTCCTGCGGCCGCCGCTCGCGCCGCTCTCGCGCTCCCCCCTCACGCGGCGCGCGCTCGCGCTCTGCCCTCAGGCCGCCCGCTCCCGCCCCCCGCGCGCCCCTTCCCCGCTCCCGGCGATGGAACCGCGGCGGCGGCGGCCGCCAGACACCCCTGCACCCCCCGCCTCCTTCCCTTCCTTCCGCCCGCGCCGCCGCCTCGGTCACCGCCCCGGCGCCGGAACCGCCGCTTGCGTCATCAGCCTGCAGCCCGCTGCGCCTCGGTAAGGGCGGCGGGTGTCTCGGCGTGGCCTCCGTCGGGAGCCTTCCCGGAGAGCCGCCCGTGGGCACGGAGGTGCCGAGTTACCCCCTCAGGGCCCGGCGGGGCCCCGCGGTCTGTGGGGGCGGCGCTGCCGCCAGAGCGTGAGGGAGCGCGGCCAGGGCGGGAAAATCCCGTGAGGGAAGGCCCGTGCTGCAACCCCGCGACACTCAGAATTCCGCCTGAAAGTGATGGTCTCTCACACGGTGCGGACGATATGCATTAAAAAGGAACCTCCAAACGCCTCTTAGAAATTGGCGGGGGGGAGCGGGTGGCTAAAAGGGTCAGAAAATAAATGGTGGAGTACCGCTAAAAGTGGTGGCCAGTGAAACCGTAGAGCACAGAATTCCAGTTAAAAGCGATGTCAAAGGAACGACAGGACATGGCAGCAGTGATCTGTCGAAGTCGGTGGTCTTTTCCAACAAAAGTGTTTCTGGGGTTCTGTGTTGCACACCATTCATTCCCACCAGGTGCTCCGCATTCAGGAGTAACCTCCAAATCCCTGCCTCACAACAATTTTTATACAGTTTCACTGAAAATGACAAACACTGAGATGCCCCTGTCAATTCGACCATGTTTCTTTAGTGAAACCCTTTGAATATGTCGTGCCCTGGTTCAGCCCTCAGGTCCCCTGCCCCAGATCTGCATCCCCAAAGTGTATTTGGGATATTCATACTGTTGCCTCCACTAGGGCAGACCAAGTCCTGCAGTGGCCAAAGTTAAATGTATGTTAAATGTAAGTTCAATATGTTAAATATTTAAATTGTGGCTTGCTCATTGAAGGAATGGGCTTTGACCATTGTTCTGGGATTGGTGTTTCCAACCAACAATACCTGTTGTGGTTATATTGTAGAGAAATCAAATGAAATTGTTGTTATTCGAGGGCTTTGGTGTTTCCTCTTGTTTGGCTGATGTTGGAGAGCACCGGTCAGGTGTGCAGCTCCTCTGAAATCACACATTCCTTTTGAAATAAATCCTCAACTGGCGCTCATCATGGAGTCTGCACAGCTCCCCCCAAATCCTCGCGTTGCTGAAATCCCACCAAAATCCCATCCTGATACGTGCCCCTGTACGTGCTTAATGAAAGGACTGCCTTGCTTGTCAGAGCCCCGCTGCTAAATTGCGTTATTTCCAAGTCAGCTGGGAATAACTGACACAGGCTCTAAACCTTACAATTGAGAAGATTAACCTCTAATCTTCAGGTACAAGGAGTATATATTACTATATATCTATATATTATTATTTATTCCTTTATAAATATCTCTGCAGATGATAGTTTGGTGCGACCCAGGAGGAATAAACTGAATACTCTAGCCCCCTACCTCCAACTTCCTGGTGTGACTGTGCAGAAATCTCCAACCACACCAGCACGAGATGTGTGATGGCAGATCAGTGACAATAATACTTTTGTCCTCTCATAATTTTTTTTTTTGCATTAGATACACCAGCAGATGTGTGATGGCAGATCAGTGACAATAATACTTTTGTCCTCTCGTAATTTATTTTTTTTTTTGCATTAGACTTAATGCAAATGCATTGATTTTTACTGGTTTCTATTGGGGTGCAAGCAGAGATTTAACCTTTGTTATTTGTTACAACTACAACATGTTATTTAGCATTTACGTTATGTATTATTTGGTGTCATCACAAGAGGCAGAAAAGAGAACTGTACGGGAACATAGCTAATGTGAGCCCCACAACCTGAGATTTGTGGTGCGGTGTGACAAGGATGTCACTTCACTATTTGATCCGAGAGGCAGGTGGCTTTAAACAAAGCACACCTGAGATTGCTCTGGCTGTACGAGCAGCCAGACACGTCGCCCAAATGCACCACACTCACCCACCTGGGCCCGGGAAGAGTGGCTGCACGGCTGGGTTTTGCCCTTGGAGCTGCTCGCTGCCCTCTCTGTGTCCCTTCCCAGGATGGGGCGCGGTGGGGAATGGCCTCGAGGGAACGCTCCCGCCGCACAGCTCGGGCTGCGCTTGCTCTCAGCTACATTGTATCACAAATCCGCCCTCGATACTGGCTGCATTTGTGCCTTATTCCAAGTATCCACTCAGGTTGTTAGACTTGGAAAGGCTGCAGCTTGTTGCTGATGAAGGCAGGCACAGTATTTTATCTCTGTGTGGTACCCCCAGCCCAGGGTCAGACGGGGCGCAGTGAGCAGCACACCCGTGTTGGCACAGGCAGAGCAGCCTGCCGGAGACTGTTTGTGCCCTTTCTTTTACGGGGCGACCTCTGCTCTGATCAAAGAGTGGCGCCTCCTCATTCGGCACTGCAGAGCAAGTCCTCCTCCTCCATTTCACAGCACCCCGGTTATCCCCCTCTCCCTGCCACCCTAGCTTGAGCCTTTTGTGCTGGAGCCCTTCCAAAGAAGGGCAGTGGAGCTGGGGAAGGGTCTAGAGAGGAAATCATGAGGAGTGGCTGAGGGAGCTGGGGGCTCAGCCTGGAGAAAAGGAGGCTCAGGGAACTCTAGAACTCCCCCCAGACAGGAGGGTGCAGCCAGGTAGAGGTCGGGCTCTGCTCCCAGTCCACAAGCAATAGAACAAGAAACAAGCCTCAGGTTGTGCCAGGGGAGGTTCAGGTGGGAAATGAGGAAGAATTTATTTGCAGAAAGGGTTGTCAAGCATTGGGACTGCCCAGGGAAGGGGTGGAGTTACCATCCCCGGAGTTGTTCAAGAGACAGCTGGACAGGGCACTCAGGTGTTCTGGACAAGCTGGAGATTGGTCACAGGCTGGACTCGATGGTCTTGGAGGTGCTTTCCATCCTAAATGAGATTCTGTGAGTGCAACAGCAAGCAAAGCACTTGAGTGAGTTCTTTAGAGAAACTCAGTTTTAGAACCATGGGGCTCATGAGATTTGATTTTGTCATGGGCAAAAGCCGCTAACACAGCTCTGCTCCTAACCTTGGGATGGTCTGAATGCCTTGGGAAGGTGTGACATTTCTCCAGCACTTCATATTTTAGAAACCCAAAGGAAAACATTCTTGTAAATACTATGAAAATCATCAAGACATAATGGAGTAAATAATCCAGATTTTTTATTAGGTTTTTTTTTTTGGTGTGTCCCAGTTTCCACAAGGGTGTATGACCCATAGCTGTGTTTCCTGTTTTTCCATTCGTAGGGAATGGATTTCATATCATGAAAAGTCAGTGTAGGCTCTAAGTAGGGCAGTAATACCTAAAAAACACATTTCCTTCCCTGGTGAGTCTGTGAAGTTGGTTAACTTTGGACACTTGGTTTTATTGGTAGCATAAAGCTGCAGGAAATCATGGAATCATAGAACCACAAACTGGTTTGGGTTGGAAGGGATGTTGAAGATGACCTAGTTCCAGCTTCCTGCCATGAGCAAGGACACCCTTGACTATTCCAGGTTGCTCCAAGCCCTCTCCAACCTGGCCTTGGACACTCCCAGGCATGGGGCAGCCACTGCTGCTCTGGGCAGCCTGTGCCAGGGCCTCTCCACCCTGCTAAAGGTTGAGGAAAATGACAATCCTTTGTTATCTCTTTCCTCTGTGATTCCTGCTTTTCCATTTATTCCATTTCCTCCAGGTTATTGATCATTCCACTGAGCGCTCCATAGGAGTAGTGGGAAAACCTGGGATCTGGATTCAGTGAATACTTTCAGGAACTGCCTCCTGTGTGCCAGATTCCTTAACAAGTTCTATAGGACAAACAATGTGTTGAAACCTCTGCTGTGGTATAATTTTCCTTATGGATCTGCTTTCAGTTTCATTTACAGCTGCTGGAAGCAGTGTCATTGTCAAGGTCAGGAAGCAGGGAGCAAGGGAGCATGAGTTTTGTTTGCAATTAATACAGGGACTGAAAAGAGTTTATAACTTCTTGAATTTTTGGTACAACTTCCACAACACTACCAAGCTGATCATCCAAATAAACTTCAATCCAAACCCCAAATCCTGCCATTCTCACTGATGAATGCTTTTGTTGTCTTTGATATTTACAGTTTTGCCATTTGTGCAGCTTCTATATGTGCTGGAATGTTTTTATTTCTATCATTCAGGGAACTGTGAACCCCAGATTGTATTGTTTCAACACACATACCAAAGGGACTCGCTCACTGGACCTCCCTGGTGCCTAGCACGGAAGATCCATCAGAAACGGGAGGTAAGATGAACTCCAATTAGACCACCTTGACTAATTTTAAACAGAACTAACAGAACTGAAGTTGTTCAGCAAGTATGCAATGCCTGCTGTCCAAGGCAAAGGGAGAAAGAAGGAAAAGAACACAAATGTTTGAACATTCAGAGAAGTGCAGCTGTCCGTGATACACATCTTTAGCCTTGTCTAAACCACTCAGTTTTAATCCCAGTAAATTGCACAAGGAAAAGAATGATTTAGAACAGATTTTATGTAGCCATATAATTTGCTTTAAATTACATTTATTAATCATCTGCATTTCTTCATTACAGCGAGTTTCCTGTGAGCATCTCAGGTGGTGTGGCCTTGTGAGTAAAGAAAATAAAAACAATCCAGACAGATGGGGAATTTACAAAGAGCAGCGCTAGCCCAGGAGAAGTGCATAGAGTTACAGCAGAAGGTAAATTTACATTACTGTTCACACTCAAACTACATTTACATTCCTGTTCACACTCAAACCCCTCCATTCTGAAAGCCCCTTTGGGACCAGCTTCTGCCTGTTTGGTGCAGTAAGGCAGGTGATTTGCCCTTGGCTGTCCTCATCCGTGATCAATGTCACTGGAGACACACAGACATATCCCACTCAGGTGCCTTGAGAACCATTTGTGTTCCCTCTCAGATACTGATGGTGCGTGCTCTATCAGTTGCTCTTAGAACATCATGCCAGCTTTGGCCACTTCCTCACAGGGAGAGCTGTGAAAGGAAAAACAAACCCAGAAAGCAAAACCTTTCAACAATTGATTCAATGAAGAAATCTACTAGTGCTCTGTTAAAAAACAAAACAGTGGTTCTGTAATATATTTAGTACTTGGGGAATCTTAGGTAAGAAATGGCTTCAGCACTTGAAATCCTAATATGCATTAATACTCTGTCAACCTTACATGTTAACATGCATAAATTGTAAAATTCCAAAGATGTGTTTCAGGCTCCTAATTTGCTTGAAAAGCTTTCAAAATTATCATCCTTTGTTAGTACAAAACTGAAAAACATCATGGCAAATAGAGGCCAAGGGCATCTGGACAAGATTCTGGATTCTTGCTCATTCTCTTCAGTGTGGTCACGGGTAACGTAAGGCAAAGACAAGACAAATCATAAGATAAAGTGAATTTTTTTGGTGTATTTCATGTATAAGGGATCTGTAATCCAAAACTCTAAATGAGATCTCTCAAGCCAAAGCCGCATCACCTATATTTGAGTATTAAAGTTTACTTGTCAAATTAATATTTTGCTGATTTTTTAAATTTTATTTTTTAATTGCTGACATTTAAGGCAGCATCAGCTGTGGGCTGCACAGGAGTCAGCTAGAAGGTTAAACATTTCTTACAGTCTGTGTTGTGCCTGGGTTCAGCCAATCCATAATGATAATTTCTATAGTAACCACTTTTTAAAGTCAACAATTGATTAGTTCTGAAATTAGTCCTTGAAACAGCTTCTCCTGGAGCAGCTTGGAAGATCTCAATGCAAGCAGCTTTCTACTGGCATGCAGAACAACGAGGCTCAGGCTGTTTTTTCTCTCCTCATATAGAGTGTGCCTTGAAAATATTTATCCTCCCAGGGTAGTTTTATCTCTGGATAAGGAAGGGAGTGGGAATCTCCATGTAAAACTCGGTAAGACCTTGGATTCAGTGAAGGCAGTGTAAGAAATGCCTTTGGTATCTCAGAAAAGCACTTGAAGTGGAGGAAGAACATTTTTACAGAATTCAAATTAGAATTAGAAAAACTGTCCACAAGTTTTTGATGATCTAAAATTCCCCTGGAGCCTCTGTTTTCAAACAGAGCCTGCCCTCACTTGTTGCCTGTGTGCTGTTTCACTTACCGGCTGCATATTGTGGGTTCCTGCTCTGCTTCAGGGGCCCGTGGGTTCTTAAAAACAGAGGAGAGCTCAATGTTGCTGTTATTCCAGTGGGACTCAGTGGGTGGCGCTAAAAGCCGGCACCTGCACCTAAAACCAGTCTGATGTTAGTTCTTCCCAATGCTTTGGAAATTAGTTTTCACTAAAGCATTTGATTCTTAAATATCTGTGTCCTGAATTTTTTTTTATTCGACAGTAAATATGAAGTGATTTTTGTTCTGTGTACTTTATGTCCAGCGGGCTAAACAAGCATTTCTGTCTGTGTGTGGCATTTACAATGCCACTGACTTTATTGCTAGCTAGTTACAAAGTTAGGAGCTGCCTTGAATAGCTCTGTGTTCCTCAATTAGTGATCTTTTCAATAAAGAGAACAAGTGCTGGTGGGGCAAATTTTCTTTTTGTCACTTGGCATCCTCTTACTTTCTTCCTTATGCCTCTGAGTTCATTTATACTTTTTTAATGAGAAAATACCTCAAATGCCAAACTTATAACTGTCTAGTGAGTGAGCCTATGAGTGTCTTGAAAGGTAAATCTGAATCTTTTATTCTCATTCATTAATTCTAATGCACAGCCTCAGCTCAGTTTTCTCAAGTGTGTAATTTTCAATTATAGACAGTATATTAATTGCTAATAGTTAACTTTTCAGAACTCAGTTTGAATACAAATTACCAGGCTTACCTTCAGACATCACTACAGTCTCTCCATGTACACCAAAGCTCTTAAATGTTGCTTGATTTCAGTGAGGCTGCTTGATTTTAAGCTTGGATTCAGCAAAGCACTTCACATGCAACATTTAAGTATCCTAATTCCAAATCCTGCACATCTTTGTTAGATAGTGACTGTCACAAGCCAGAAAAGCAGTCCAGAATTTCTGGAGTGATTTATCAGCATTACCTCCTATCTTAGGGAACTTCTCACATTCTGTATTTCTGATGTGTTTCTTTAATTTAAAAAGACTCCTGTAAGGACAATGCAAACATTCTTCAAGAAAACTGCCTCCATAAGCATTGCACAAATAATATGCACTAAGAGCAGCAAATAAATCACACATCATTACTAATCAACAAGCCGAGTGTTCTCTCCATTATTAATCCAACCCCAGTGAGGGCTGATCTCTTTTTTAGACACATCCTTGTGGCAATTCTCTACGACTGTCACTTTCTTTTCCCACAGGGACATGAAAATATTCTCAGTTTTGAGGTCCACGGCCTCTTTGTGCAAATAGTTCTCTTAACAGTAGGTGGCAGATTTCTCCTGCCTGAGAGCTTGGAGAATGCTTCATCGGGCTCGTTCTTATGGAATGCTGACACCTGTTTATTCAGGACACACTGTAGCTTTCCCCGTCAGAGCCCTCGTTTAGGAAGAGATTAGGCTTGAACATCATTTTTAGAATAATGTGGATATTACCTGAGCTAGACTTGCTTTTGCAGGTACACTTCCTACTTGTCCACTAACCAATCCAAAAACATCTCTGTGATCTGGTGTGAAGTAACTTGCTTAAAATATTGTAGGGAGGATTGAAAATCTGTGTGGAAAGATCCAAGATACAATCTCCCTTGCATTAAGCTCGGTTTCCAGAGAAATCAGGCAAGTTTTGGCACTGACTTTGACGTGACCAGAATTAGGTCAACGCTGAATATATTTCAAAACCTTGCACAGAGGGCCTGGTAAGCTTCGTGAGTTGCCAAAAAGCTCCTTAAGCAATATCAGTGCCCAAGAGACAGGTGTCTCTGCCTAAAATGCACTTATATACTAAAGCAGGAAGGGAAAACCTGATTTCCCTTTCAGAAGGGGAAGCAGATAGGTTGCCTACCTCATAACAAAGAATCAAATAAAATAATCTTGCTTTTGTTTGAAAGCTAACTAACTAACATAATACACAGAAGTTCCTTGGCAAGCCTAGTGTCAATTTCAATTTCTCCACACAATAATTTTTAATTCCGATGTTATGTTGTTCTGGACTGAACTTTATGACCAGCTTGAGTGTGAAGTTTTCTTCTTGTGGATGGACAGGCAAAATAACCTAAGCCCATGTCAGTGGAGTTTCTGTTTTGTGACAGTGGGATAGTGGGAATGACATGGAACATTCTATAGCCACGAGTCCCTGATGGCACACATCCCAAGGTCCTGGGGAAACTGGATGATGCATGTGGTCTCCAAGCCACTCTCCATCACCTTGGAACAGTCACAGCCATCAGGTGAAGTCCCCAGTGACTGGGAAAAGGGAAACTCTTTATAAAAGGGGTAGAAAGCAAGAGCCATGGAGCCACAGACCAGTGAGCCCTACCTCTGTGCTGGGGAAGACCCTGGAGCAGATCTTAAGGAATCAGTGTTGAGGCACATGCAAGACAGAGAAGTGATCCAGGACAGCTTCACTAAGGGCAAATTGTGCCTGACCAAACCGGTCCCTTCATGATCATCAAATCCAACCAATAACCCAGCACTGGAAAGTGCACCAATAAAGCGTGTAAATTAACTGAATCCAAAATGTTTCACTGAAACATGAGCGTACTGATAAACTTCCATAAAATCCAGTTATATTTCCATATTGGCTCTAACAAACCTGCAGGGAGGGCAGGCTCTGTATGAGAGAGTCAAGTGATACAAGAACATTTGTATTCTGGGATGTCAAAGGATCCATCCCAGAATTCCTCTCGCTGACAGCCAAGAGGCTGCAGTGCCCAACAGTGCAGCAGGACCTCAGAAACCATGAGATTTGTGTTCATATCAGACTCTCAGCATTTTCAGGTTTCCTGGGCTCACCAGCAACAGTGTCCTCAGTCTTGACTTAGCACCAGGCTGTCCTCTCTGCCAGAAGGAACTGGGAGAAATTGGGTTCAACACATAATTTGCCCAGCTTCCAATCTCCAGTCCAGGGAATCAGGAATCTGCCTAGATCTGCACTGACTTTAAGGGAAGCCTTAAGCCTCTTTGTGCTGGGAATAGCTCCAGTGCCTAGACACCCACTCCATTTTCCAGCACTCAGAGTCAAGGAGGAAAGTCAGAGTCCCAAGGTCACACTGAACTGAAGGTACCAGAGTATGGTAAAATACCATACCCCTTGTCTGGGAAGAATGATGCATCTGACTCCATGACATCAGAAGGCTAATTAATTACTCTATTATACTATATTATTCTATACTATACTACACCACATCTAAACTGAAAAGATCTCATGACTGTCTCCTGACTGACCGTCAGGACACGTGCTTGGCCCCGATAGGCCAAGGAAACAAAACGCCACCATGGTGGGTGAGCCATCTGCATATTGCATTCTACTTTGGCACAGCACTGGAGCAGCAAATGAGATAAGAATTGTTTTGATCATTCTCTGCTTCTCTCAGGTTCAGAGAGGGCGAATCCCACACCAGAGAAGGGCACTACTACATTAATTGTTCTAATTGAATTTCCTGAGTCATTTTTTCGACCTGTGGATAGGCTGTGGATATGCCTGGCTGGCAATATTGAAGCACTGCTGGTATAAGCAAAAAAGGCCTTTGGGCAGAGAGCAAATGTCAAGGACTGTCAGCATGGGGCTGGAGAGCACCACAGAGGAATGCCCTTGGGAGTGTAGCCTCTGCCTAATTGATCCAAAAGACAACACCGAAAGCTTCATGTGCAAAGATTTTGTTAATATTTCTTTGCATGGCTTAAGAAGGATTCTCAGTTTAGTGTTCAAATTTAAAAAAACCAAACGTCACAGCTATTTGGGCTTTGCACAGCCACAGATCTGCCTGATAGATCTCCTTAGTTCCTCTGATATATGGACCAATCTTCTGATAACTTCTTTAAGAGAACCTCATGAACTATACAGATCTTTGCTAAGCTCAATCACAGTTTCTGGTCTCTGAGAAATTTTTCTGATTCTGGGAATGTGCTGAGGAACCTTTCTTCTAAAATCAGGTGTTCCTGAAGGCCCTCAAAGTCAGAGACACCCAATTTCAAACCCCAGTCATTCATTAGTTTGAAAATGAGAGTTTAGAAGCACTACTCTAAAGAAAAACCAACAAATAAACCAAGCAACGTTTCCTCAGTTTTGTATTATTTCTAGTCACTTCCTTAACTCTGGGAATCCCAGGTTTCCAGAATTACATGTCATAGTGCAACAAATCCAGGTAAAGGAGAACATGGGAAGGAAAACAGCAACCTGAAGAGAGACAATGTTTTGTTGCTGCTGCTGCAAATCCAGTTCTCTTCTAAGAGATCATTACATCCTGGTAATATCATTGGCAATCTGGAAGTACTGAACTGGAACTACAAGCCAGAGCTCGCCTAATAAATGTGGTCTGGTTGAATGCTGCTTGAAAAGCAATAGATTCTTACAACAGGAAAATACTGGTACTTGGATATGAACTAACTGAACTTCACAGGCTAAGGCAGAACATGGAAATATTTCACCTTGCCTTTGGATTTCACATATAGGGACAAGATGCTTCACATTTCATTCGCGGAACCTCAGAATTTGTAATTGCAGCATAATGTGCCGAAGTGGACTATCCTTTTATGTCAGCAAGTAAACAGCAGTGCCAAATTTTAAAATGTCTTGTCCTGCCTGCTCCATTAACAAGGACCTAAAAATGGCTCTACAAACTTGTCTTCTCCTGCTGAGGTGCCACCTGAGGCCCTGACTCTCAGCTAAAGAAATTCCAAAAAAGTACTGGTACTGGGATCTGACTAACTGAACTTGGCTTCACAGGCTAAGGCAGAACATGGAAATATTTCACCTTGCCTTTGGATTTCACATATAGGGACAAGATGCTTCACATTTCATTCGCGGAACCTCAGAATTTGTAATTGCAGCATAATGTGCCGAAGTGGACTATCCTTTTATGTCAGCAAGTAAACAGCAGTGCCAAATTTTAAAATGTCTTGTCCTGCCTGCTCCATTAACAAGGACCTAAAAATGGCTCTACAAACTTGTCTTCTCCTGCTGAGGTGCCACCTGAGGCCCTGACTCTCAGCTAAAGAAATTCCAAAGACAGCAGGGGATATTTGAGGTGGAAAATGCTATTCTTGCTCCGGGACTTCATTTAGTAAAACTACTATATTTTCATTTTTCAAAGTTATGAGGGCTTTTTCTTAAGGAATTGTTTGCTCAGGAATAGAGGAAAGGCTGAGAGAAGAATCACTCCCTTTATGTCCTTAATGCTTGAACATTTACAAGTTGTCTTAAAGAGATGAACTAGGATCTTCCCAAGAAAGAAACCAACAAAAACACCCCAAGGTCCTAGCAGAAAAACCAGCACAAGAGAACAATAATAGCACTAACACAGAGTCTGTTTCTGTGGAGATGGACATGAAGGAGAAAATATTTACCAGCTTGGCAGTTTTTATGCCAGAATGGGAAAACCCTAAGTTTACAATGAAACTGAATGGAAAATAAGGCAAGTAAGAGTGTCAGCACTGCCAGGTGATGCAGTAACATTGTGGGGGGCACCTGCAGAATGGCAGAAATATTCCACAAGTTCTACAGCCCCTCTAGACATACAGGAAGGATTTTTTTCAACTCCTAAAGTGTTTCAAGTTGAGAGCAAAACCTGTGGCTCCCAGAATCATTAGTTTTTTTTATTGCTCCTGATTTTAGCAGATACACCTGCTTATACTTACAAAAAAAGTTAGTAGACATATTTTTTAAAAAAATTGAAGGCTACGGCTCAATGGCCTAAAGAAATGCAAAACAAAAAGATGCTCCAAACATTTCCTGCTGTTCCTCCCAAGTTTTCATTATTTCTTTTATTGCTAAAGCACATCAAACTTAGGAAAGGAATGTTAACAATCTCTTGCCAAACAGAAGCTTTCAGCTTTGGCTCTTGACTACACCACATTAAATGGCTCTTCTCTCCTGCCAAAGGCCATCAGGTAACATAGCAGAGCAGCACAGAAATTGGAAGCTGAGTGCCAAAAAGTTTCTAGGGCACAAGTGAATGCACTGGATTCCAAAGACCTCAGGGACTTATGTAAGAGGAAGAAAATAGATCTCTACTGATAGTCCTATCATGGGCCAAACATCAATCACAGCAGCGCAACGATTTCAGTTCCACATACAATTATCAAAGGCATTATAAGAAATACTGAAGAAAAACCTCGTCCTGAGAAGGACTTCCTGAATAGAGCAATGCTGCACCTCAAGTACTTCTTTCCCACATCTATTTTCTATTCAGATACAAAATTTAGATATGCCCATACCAAGATATAGCACTGATTTTTGTTGAGGGACCTTAGAAATGGATAACAGATGACGCCCATACTCAGCTATCTGATGGACTACCTACTTGAACTGGCAGAGCAAGAAGTCACAGGGACATGGAAAGTAGAGACAAGTTCTGAGAAGCCTCAGAACTGATACCCTCAAAAAGCATGAAGGCTGTGTATTTGTATATATTCAGGCAATCGAATGGTTAATAGGCAAAGCAAAGCTGTTCTTGTTCCTGCTGCCAAAGAATGATGTTGGCAAATGGTCATTAATAAGGGAAACAGCTACATCGCTACACTGTGGACTTGTGAGACAAAGAGGTAGGGATGCTTGAACGGCCTAGGGATCAAGTGTACAGGATCAGCAGGAACAGTCATTCTTGTCGATTCAAAAATCCTTCTGTGAATGATCAAGAGCTCACTAACTCTGCAGGTGGGTGGCTGATGCCAGAAGATGAACAGCTGAGTATCAGAACTCACCATATGCTCATGACATACACCTGACATGGAATGCTATTGGCTACACCTGAGCAGGTCTCTGCCTCAAACCCCTTCTGTCTTTATGTTTGCTTTGTATGGACGAGTCCATCTCTGTTCAAACAAAAGGCATACATCTGACAGGTTGGACTCGTTCTGCACAGGAGCCAGACATCAGCGATAAGAATGGCAAACATCCTGCACCAGAGCAGGAAAAAAATGTGATGTCTGATACCTGTCCATGCGTCCAGAGCTACAGACATACAGAGCTACAGACATTTATTTAGAAATATACTGATCATTACAGTTATTAAAAAATAGCTACTCACTGTGGCTACTGGCACAGGAATGTCTTGTCTCTAGGTTTGGTGTGTGCCTCATGGTCCCGTCCCACAAACAGAACTATAGGTCTTGAAAAAAGGAAGAAACAGCAGTAAATAAAATTGAGGGCCACAAAAGTATAGGGGTTCTTCATGTCCTTTGGGTTCTGAGAAACTACTTTGAAAACTACTTACTTCCCAAAAGGGCTCTGACTGCTGTTCTCATGATACATCACATTTGTTTCTCAAGAGCCCCATTCCATATTAGTACCTCTCGGTCCACTGTTTCTCTCTTCCACTTTGCACAGGCTGGTATGATGAAATATTTTAAAACTATGCATCCTTTTTATTTCCAGGTCAATTACTCTTGGAATTATTGTCCTTTGGTTCCCCACACCTGGAATAAAACTAGTTATATACATGTAACTTCAGACATAAATGAGTGTGAAAATGGATCATCCCAAAAAACCATTGATAAATTCCTTTTTCTAATGCCAGAACAACTGTTGGAGTGAAATCAATGCAGGATGAAAGCACAGAGTAACAAGAAACTCAGTATACTATTTAATATTGTTAAACAAACATGAGCATTGGAGTTCAGCTCTCAGCAGTTATATGAACCATTGGCATGAAGTACAGGACAGACAACAGAAGATATCTAGAAATAAACATGGACCCTGTATTCCAAACTTACATATTAACTCCAGGGGACCAGGAGCATTCTTGCTAACACTGCACAGTGATGCAAGGGAAAATTCCAGAGAGCTTTCAAGATGCAACATTGCAATCATGGTGCTGAATTTCAGCTTTGCCCTCCCAACCCTTAGCTGTAGTTTTCTGGAGACTTCTTTGGTACAGCCTGAGAGCATCTCAAGAGCTGTTCTAAGACATCATTCACCAACACCACAGTTTTTTACTGCCTTATAGTTACCCACAAAATACCTACAGGTGTGTTTCTGTCCCACTGAATGCTCTCCTGAAATGTGAAAGGAGATGGCTCTTCTCTGAGAGAGGGATACGGTCAGTAAAATAATTACAGACTGAATTAACGAGCTCTTTGCCCAGGTTTTATTAGGCTAAAGCAGCACACGTCCGAAAGGTCCAGATTGCTCATCAATTCCCATCACTCTCCAGAAATGTGGTTTTTGCTACAACCACCTGAAAACTATCTCCATGTCTAATGCTATGACATTTCTAACATTGCTTTTCTGCCAACCTGGCTTTTCCGCACCATCCTCCATGTAAGAGTTATCCAAATAACCTTTTAATTCCCGAAACAGAGCCTTGTTCATTTCAATCACTAACAGAATGCTGCCTTTTACCTATAGAAATATCAGGAGCAGACTCAGGAAAATGCACTTCTGTTTTTTTTTTTTTTTTTTTGCAACAGCAGCAGCCTGTAGAAATTTCATTGTATCAAACTATTGTGTGAACTCAGCTGCAGAAAAGAACAGCCTTTCTGGAACACAAGGTGCATTGCCTAGGCATTTTCCAGAATGAAAACTGCCTGCAAATATTTTGAGCTTAGACATATCATTTGCCTTATTTCAAATGTCTTTAGCAGCTCACACTCAGAAGCAAAAGGAAGTATTACGCACGTACTTACTTAGTCAAATTTCCAGAAAACGATCATGGAATTGTTCTTACTATTCCCATTAGGAATATTATGGAGTTATGGCAAAACTGCCCATCTGAGGAAGAAAAACAGAGTGAAAAAAGGAAACTTTAAAGACTAAGGAAGAGTTTGGAGAGCACACTCTGGGCTCTGCCACGTGGGTGCTCACGAAGCACTTGCAAGGCAGCACACAACCTCCAGCTGTGTGGGCTGACATCCACACACTGGGGACACAAATTAATTAAAATAAATTGTAGCATCTCCCGCTGGAAGCTACATCACTTTGCACTCAGCAAGGATCCAGCCTTGTACTTGTTTGGGAATCTTTGAAGCATCTCACTGTGTGTCCTGAAAAGTAATTTTGATTTATTCCATGTCCTGGGGCCCTGTGCAAACTGCACAGTTTTCCTACGTCTGATCTCCTAAGTTACTGACTAATCAATGGGAAATTTTTCAGAGATGAGAGCCATGTTTAATTAAGAGATTACTCTTGGGAAGATGTCTGTACAAATGAGAAATTGCAAAAATTCTGAAATGAGCAGCTCCTGCACATGTTTGCCCATGTGCTTGGCTGTTTTCTGGATATCAGTGAACAGCAGTACCCATGGAAAACCAGAGCAGGACCCAACAAATTCAGGAGCTCAAAGCAGCCACACATGTCTAGATTAGCCATCTCATCTCAATACAGTGATTTTAAATTAAAATTCTCTAATTTCAGGTGGACTGAATGGTCTCTGGGTGAGCGGTTGCTATACAATACCAACATGCTCTGCTTTTGAACAAATAGTAGCAAAAAAAAAAAAGGCCACAGGATTAGCCCTGATGCCTTGAACTCCTTGTTTGTCATTTGATAAGGAAATTTACGCAAAACTTTATCTTTTTTGGGTGCTGGGAGGTTCGACCTCTTCGGGACAAAAAGGCCCACAATAACAACACAGAATAAATAACTAATACCAAATTAATTTTTGTCAAGGGCAGCTGAAGTTTTGAAATCTTCCTCAGGCCAAATGGCAATTCAGAAATGCCAGCCTGATGGTTAATGTTTTACAAGCACAGGTAGTGAAGGGTATATAAGCAAATGCTCTTCCTTCAATCTTCCTAGCACTTTTGAGCAATTTTGCTCACATCATAATCTGAAACCATGAAGTGGTTAACATTAATTTCATTTATTTTCCTCCTGAGTTCTGCCAGATCCAGGAACCTGCAAAGAACTGCACGAGATGCAGGTAAGAAAGGATTAATTACTTCTCATGGAAGTCTCTTTTCTATCAATTTAATGTAATATGGTTTCACAAATAACTTGTGGGAGCCTGATCCATATTGAACAGAAAAATGTGATGGACTTGAAAATAAACTAAATCAAGAGACACTGGGGAGATGGGTAGGACACTCAGGACAAATGAACTGATGTCAGTGAGTCAGGATCTGTTCCTTTCCACCACGGAAAAAGCAGCTGCACTGTGCTTTTGGAAGTTCTGTCTTTCAACAATTAATAACTGTGTTCAGAAGAAGAAGGTTTGCTCAAATCAAACTGCAGCTGCACTGCTTTATTTGCAGCGTTTGGGGGGGTGGTTACCCAAAGGACACATTTGCTAACCCTGAATAATAAGTCCCAACAGTCACTCTGAGTGAATGAAGAAGCTGCTTACAGAGGTAAATATTCTATTAGGTCATAAAAAGCACAGGCTGGGGTTCCCTCAGACAGACAAGCAAACCTAAGAGTTGGGTACCTGTAGACAAATGAACAAGAGTTCAAGCTCCTCAGTTGTTCAGCACAGAAGTCAGGTGCATGCTGAAGCCTGGTGAAAATCTGTCCCCTGGTGCCCAGAACGCATTTCTCAGGGCCCAGCACAGGCAGTGTGCCAGCGAGCATCACTGCTCCCTCTCCTTTTCTTCCCAGACCACAAGAGCCCGATTGCCCACCGCTTCAACGACCTGAAGGAAGAGACATTCAAGGCAGTGTAAGTGACCGTTCAGCTTCCACCTTCTAACTGGTTTTTTGTCTCTCTTGATGTTGTACCAAAAAGGGAAAGTAAGGCACTCTGTAAGAGCTCACAGGGAGTGTGTAAGTCTCGCTGAAACACTGACTTAGCTCCTGTCACTGCAAAACCTAAAAATATTTTAAGACCTGAAAATGTCACAATGACTTCCTTGCTCTCTGGGAAAAGAGCTCCTTGGAAACCTTGCGAAAAAGCCTCTGTTCCTTCTCTGAAAATAAAAGAGGCATGAGGAATACAGGTTTGCTATCCCTAGAATGAAGAGAAACCATCCTGCATTGGTCAGAAAAAAAACACAAGACTACCAACCTCAAAAAGAAACCTGCGACAGGTTTTCTGAGACAAATCAGTGATCTTCATTTGAAACTGGTTTTGGGAAAGAGAGGGCCCTGACACACACGTAAGGCAGCCTGAAGATCATAATTGCTAACAGTGGCCAAATCCAGCGTAGGTCATGGCAATTATGAGTTATGATTTATCGCTGGTAAAAGCGACAGAAATTCCAATCACAGTCTTTTCTCATTTGTTTATAATTTAATATTCAAGACTTTTTTATTGGGAATGTAAACAGGTTATTGGGAAGGTTAAAGGTTAAAATTAAAAGGTTATTGGGAAGGTTAAAAACATATTCAGAGAGGAGGAGAGAAGAAGACAGATGTGGGATCTGGCACTGTGCTCTGCATGGTGCTGTGGTGAAACTTTGTGCATGTAATTTGAACAAACCAGTTCAATTCAGAGGCACCTCTGCAAATATTGCCTGATGTTTCTCAGTCTCATATTCCAAACTGTGCTTTGTGTTTCAGTGCCATGATCACATTTGCCCAGTACCTCCAGAGATGTTCCTACGATGGACTGTCTAAGCTGGTGAAGGATGTGGTTGATTTGGCACATAAGTGTGTGGCCAACGAGGACGCTCCGGGCTGCTCTAAACCACTGGTAGGCAGTGAATCCCTCACTACTGCATTTCTACTGGCTCTGTGCAGCTTCCAGCATCGCCCTCCTTGAGCCCTTACACCTGAACCTTTCAGGGGTGGCTGCTGTCACAGGCCAATGCTCTGACTTCAGTGCTTAAACACAGAACTTGGTTTTGTCAGGTTCTAAACCTCTGCCTTTAAGAAGTGCCTAAATGATCCATGGAGACATGCTGGAGACCAAATACCACACTCTGGCACATTCAGCTTAGCATGGCCTGAAAATAAGTGTTAGCACTTGGTACAAAACCCCATCTGTGAGGGACAGGCCTCATTCTAGGTATTAAAGTGACCCAAATGTGTGGATTTCCACACTGGGGTGACTTGAAAAGGTGTGTGTGCTAATTTAAAGCACTTAGTTTATGAGGGTTTAAAAAATTCCTCTAAAATCAGGTAACAAAAGAAGTTTGCAGGTATTTAGGATCCCCAGACGTCTAACAGTTTCAGCTAGACATTAGTTCTCCCTAAAGGTTTCCATCAAATCCCACTTCAATTCCCCTGAAAACTCAGTTTAGTGCAATTATGAGTAAAAGGAGATCACTGTCTTGCACAGAGTATTTTAAATTATTGTTAACTTTTTTCAGTAAAGCCTTGGAACTGTTTGATATTGGATTACATAAAACAAAACTTTATAAAATGATTGAAAGCCAGTAGATGATTTTGCTTTTTGGTCTAAATCTTATTCAGTAAAAATGTGTTTGCTGTTCAGCCTGGCTTTTCTTTTTCAGATGAACAGCCAATAGACTGCACTGTCTATATACAAACACTAGCTCTGACCCTCACACCTCCCTTTGCAGCCCTCTGTTTTCCTGGATGAAATCTGCCAAGTTGAGAAGCTCCGTGACTCGTACGGCAGCATGGCTGACTGCTGCGGCAAGGCCGATCCCGAACGGAACCAGTGCTTCCTGTCCTTCAAAGTGCAGCACCCCGACTTCGTCCCACCCTACGAGAGACCAGCGGCCGATGTCATCTGCACCGAGTACAAGGACCACCGGGTGCAGCTCCTGGGAAAGTAAGGAAAACGGCCACTTGTGGTGTCCTGTCCTGATCACATTTCCTCATTTCATGCCAGAGCAGGATTTTGCAGTCAAAACAGGGATTAAGGATCACATTTTATACATCTTGGATGAGCTTTCCTCCCCAAACCTGCTAAAAACTCAGTGTTTCCAATATTAATAACTTATTTGCTCCAGCTTCCCACTACACTTTGTGTAGTTGGCAAGAATGAGGAAAGGTAACAGTGAACAGAATACTGGCAATAAAATCTTGGTGAAAGGGCCATTGATTAACTTTTCACACTGAAAAGCAGAATTGTCAAATATCTGACCACACATTTAAAAAAGCGGATGCGTGTCAAACCAGAGGGCTGACAACATCAGGAGATCGCCCTTCACCCACAGTTACCGAGCCCTGCCTTGCCACGAGTGAGGTTCAGCAGAGCATTTCCCGTCAGCAGGCATTACTAAACTAGATCTCTAAAGTAGATTTCTGAACTTCAAAAAAAGTTAGAGAAGCTGCCAGAGGTTTAAGGCCATTTGCTGTTGTCACTGGAACACGGAACTAAGGCTTTCCTTTCCCTTCTAGTTTCGTCTACACTGTTGCAAGAAGAAACCCGTTCCTGCACGCCCCAGCCATCCTGGGCCTGGCTGCTGAGTACGAAAATGCGCTCAAAAGCTGTTGTTCAGACAGTGATATTGGTGCTTGCTTGGATGCAAAGGTACAGCAGCTTTGTCTCTGTGGATAAACACTAAGAAACTGAGTGAGAAACAGGCAGAATTTTCCTGTTCATGCAAAGCTTTGCATGAAGAACTTGGAGAGACAGGCCAGGATTAATCCTATCCATTGGACATAATCAATTTAATGTGACAATGTGGGTCCTGTTACCACAGGCAGCTGACATCAAGGAAAGAGCCAAGAAGATAGATCTGAAGCAGCAGCACGGATGTAGAATCCTCAACAAGTATGGTGAGAGGACTTTCCAAGCCAGGTAAGTGCCAATCACTTGTTTTGATGCAATGTAGACTTGTCAGCCTGTGAGAGAGACCTAGGAAAAGCTCAGCTGTGAGAGCTGCAGAGCAATTAAACCATCTCTGGAACCAGTCCAGAGGATGGAGAATTAACTGCTGAAGTGTCCCTCAGAACCAGAGTCACAGTGTGCTTAACCCACACTTGAGCCAAAGCTGTACCCCATTCCTACAGCTTTCAGTGATGGATACATCACTAGTCAGCAGAGTAAGGTGGCAGTTTGAACCTTAAACCAACCAAAAAGTCACACTTGGCAGAGTCACAGTTGTTAAAACGTTTGTTTGTGAGACAAAGACAAGCTTTTGCAATTTAATAAGTGGACCACCTGTCGGGGCACAGAGAGGTGCTTTCCTTCTGTGGCCAGGCTGATACACTGTCACTGACTAGGATTATCTTACAGACATAGCCAGCTTTCATTTAAAGGCATCATCAGGACTATATCTACATGTGCCAAGGAATCTGGAGCACTTTCCAGTTGCTCAAGAGTGGTGGGGAATACTGGGTGTGATTCTTACGGTTCAGGCAGAACAGGAAAACCACAGACTTGTTCCTTTCTGGCTTTACTGGTGCAGATGTTGATGCCCTTTTTTTTCAGCCACCAGGAATTAGATGAGTATTTTCTTGAAATAATCCTGCCCTACCTTATGTGTTAGTGACGTGGAAGGCTTCTGCTCCCTACAGTGCTGTAAAACAAGTGTCTTTTTCTCCTTTTCTACCCAGCAAACTCGTTCGTATGAGCCAGAAATACCCCAAGGCCCCATTTGCAGAACTTGTTAAGATGGTCCATGATGTGAAGGATGTCTACAAAGAGTGCTGTGATGGGGACATGGTAGAATGCGTGGATGACTGGGTGAGCTCACTATTTTGAAACAATACTGACATATTTGAAAGATATATAGTAACATGTGTTAGTGACGTGGAAGGTTTCTGCTCCCTACAGTGCTGTAAAACAAGTGTCTTTTTCTCCTTTTCTACCCAGCAAACTCGTTCGTATGAGCCAGAAATACCCCAAGGCCCCATTTGCAGAACTTGTTAAGATGGTCCACGACGTGAAGGATGTCTACAAAGAGTGCTGTGATGGGGACATGGTAGAATGCGTGGATGACTGGGTGAGCTCACTATTTTGAAACAATACTGACATATTTGAAAGATATATAGTAAGATAGTAATTTGTGCAGCTACACGTTCACAGTCCAGGGAACTTAAACTCGGCACTACTGGAAGGTTCCTCAAGCACTGAAAAGCTCAGGATCAGCACAGCTGACTCTGGAAGTAGGTTTCAGCCCAGCTCTGGATCTAGCCCTGTGTAATCATAGGGACAAGAAGCCACTGCTTACACTTTATCCAGAGTGTTTGGCCCAAATCAGAACATTTATCAGGGAGGTTGTCTCATGGTATTTATTCACCTGAACTCAAATCATAAATATAGGGAAAAACAAGCGGAGGCAAAAAGGCTGCAATTTTTTCTCCAATCCTAATGCAGCTTTCCTGTAGTGCCAACAAATGCTAGAGAACAGATGAACAAACCTCTGCAATGGTGAGATGGTGTCAGTGTGGCCTGGCTGACTCAAACCTGGACACACTGTTGACCCAGCTCGTTCCAGTGCTCTGGGTTTGTCCTCTATCAGAGCTGGGCATCTTGGCAGGACTGACAAGATCCATCAGGCATCCCCGTGACAGAGCACTCAGTGACGTGCCCTGGCTGTGCAGAGTTTGGGTTCTCAGTTCTAGGATCAGCAAGGGAGCCATTCACCCTGCACAGGCCCTGCTTATTTCTCTTTGTGTCAAGACAGCATTTTTTAGCAAAGGGCTAAGTAAATAGGTGACCTGAATGAAAAGAGAAGAGTCTGAAGCAGAGAGAGCAGATTAATTAACCTGTCTTTAAATTACCACTGTACTGCACATCTTATCTGATACTATGTATTAAATTTACAGTCAGAGCTCGTGGCCTCTTTGTGCTCTAAACAAGATGTTTTCTCAAGCAAACTCAAGCCCTGCTGCGAGCTGCCAGCTGTGGAAAGGACCAAGTGCATCATGGAGGCAGAGTTTGATGCGAAACCTGACAATCTTCCTTCGCTGGTTGAAAAATACGTTCACGATAAGGACGTGTGTAAACACTATGAGCCAAACCACGACGCATTCCTGTCAGAGTAAGTAGTGCCAACAGCATTCCAAGCTCATTGTCCACCTGAGGAAATGTCCTTGTTATTCCTGCACTGTGCTGAGGAAAGCAGCACGTTATTCAGGAGCTCTGTCTGCCCCTGTGCCTTGCAGGTTTGTTTATGAATATTCACGAAGACACCCTGAGCTCTCCACACAGCTGATTATGAGGATTACTAAGGGATATGAAACACTCCTGGATAAGTGCTGCAAGACAGACAACCCTGCTGCGTGCTACGGGAACGCTGTAGGTGCAAAGCTCTGTTTGCAGATGACTAGAATGCCTGGCTGCTACCTGTCATCACAGAATTGTGTGGAGAAGCTCCTACACTAGAGCAGACAGAAAGCTTTAGGAGAGACTAATTCCAGGGGAGGTTAATGTCCTGGTGGGAGATGAAGCAGTCCATGGCCATGACAAGGATACAGGGTTATCTCAGATCACAGAGTAATTTCATTTGTCACATCACGTTATTTCAGACCAGTCTCACTCAGCTGTCTGATGCCTCTGTACCTCAGCTGTGATTCTGCTTGTCCTGAGGCTGACAATTAACAGCTCGTTATTCCTTGAGCTCACAGCCTGCCCTGAGGATGGCTGCTCATGGATTGTGATGGGAGCGTGTGTGGCCAGCACACACACACACCTCAGCTTAGGTCTGATCCACAGCTCAGCCACACACAAGACACAGCATAGGATGAGTTCCCAAAAGCTTTGGCCAAGAGATGTTCCCCTCGTGGTTGATAATATTATGAAATATTTAGCTGATTTAAACAAAAAAAACAAACTCCCACTGCTTAGAAAATAAGTCCAACAGGTAACTAACTTAAATTAAATTCTAAAAATGTTGCTGCCTTTTTCAAGGAAATTTCTGCTAGAACTTAAGACCCTCTAGGGAATCAAATCCTGCCTACACCATCCTGGCTCATCGATCTTGCAAACAGAGTAGTTGTAGATAAGGTTTAGAAGAGGTCAGAAGTTACATTTGTATGACTGGTAGCAGCAAGTCCTGCTCTAATATTACTAATAAATTTCTACTTGTTTGCAGCAAGAGGAAGTGAACAAGCACATCAAGGAAACCGAGGATGTTGTGAGGACCAACTGTGAGCTGTTCAACACCCACGGCGAGGCAGAATTCCTCAAAGGGTGAGCGATCCCTGATAACCATTCTGGAGTCTTCACTTGGCTCCCCTTCAGTGGGCTAGACGTGCTCCACCTGAAGAGTGCTCTGGTAACTGCCATTTCCATTTGACTTTGTCAGAATTCTGGTCCGCTACGCCAAGAAAATGCCTCAGGTATCCAGCGAGACCCTGCTTGAAATCGGGAAGAAAATGACAGCTGTTGGCAAGAAGTGCTGCGGTCTCCCCGAGGACAGACGCATGTCCTGTTCTGAGGGCTACGTGAGTACACAGAATTACTCTTTTCCCTTCTCCTCTGGGGGATTTTTCCTGTTCATACAAACACTGAATTCTGGTGAGATAGCAAACACAGCGTTTTTTCATAAACACCATGCTAAGCATCTACCTAACAGAATTCCAAGTCTGTTCATTTTTTAATGGATGTGAGAGCCTAAATAGCTAGCTGATGGTATCTTGTGAGAATTTTAGTTAAACTTGGCTTTCTCTCAGCAAGCAAGAGTGAGTTCATAGAACTGGCAATCATAGAATAGCCTGGGTTGGAGGGAATCTCAAAGATCATCCAGTTCCAACACCCTACCATGAGCAGGGACACCTTCCACTGGACCAGGTTGCCCAGAGCTCCATACCTGAGACTGTGGCAGGTTGCATATGGGAAATGTCCTAAAACAGTGTCCTAAAACCCTCAAACCTACTGATTGTAGTCCAATCCCCTGACTGTTTGCAGATGAAGAAATGCTTTCCTCCAGGAATACCTATATATTTTAAATTGTCAACACATACCATATCCCAGCAGGTGTTTCCAGCTATGCTGCTGTAATAGAAACATCACTTAGCCGCTGTGTTTTTGGGAATATGTAACTAACCTGTGCCCTTATCTTTTCTTTCCAGCTGAGCATCATCATTGAAGATATGTGCAAGAGACAGGAGAGCCACCCTATCAACGACCAGGTGTCACAGTGCTGCAACGAGCTCTACTCCTACAGGAGACCCTGTTTCACTGCCATGGGCGTGGACACCAAATACGTGCCTCCACCATTTGACCCCATGATGTTCAACTTCGATGAGAAAATGTGCACTGCTCCTCCGGCTGAGCGCGAATTAGGGCAGCTGAAGTAAGCTCCAATAAACACTCTGCAGGGCAGCTTTTGGCATGTAGCACTTTGGGAGTACAGAAGGCAGCTACACCCTGTTTTGTCATCTGACTGGGGCTTCACTGGTGACAGAAAACCAGAGCTATGTGTTGGTACTGACCTGGTCAGCCTATAACATCATGGAGTTTGGAAGAGGCAAAAGAGAATTTATTCTTCACTTAAAATCCCTCTCTTACCTGACCAGTTTCACGTAGGCCCGCTGCCAGCGCAGACCTTGAGATGTACTTAATTAGGGCAACATACAGATCATTTCCCTAAGCTTTTACCCAGCTGTAACTGAGCTAACACAAAAGAAACTGATGGTTGTGTCAGACTGGCAGTTTGGAGTCACCAACAGGCTCATCTGGGCATGACAAAAAACCCCTCAAATGAGCTGTGCCTTGGGGGAATGGTGTCTTGTAAAGCAAGAATCCGACTACAGCGGGCAGGATTAATTGTGTCTTGTGGCTTTCTTTTCAGACTGCTCGTCAACCTCATCAAGCGCAAGCCCCAGATGACAGATGAACACATAAAGAAAATTGGTGGGAGTTTCACTGCCATGCTGGACAAGTGCTGCAAGCACCAAGATGTTGTGGGATGTCTTGGGGAAGAGGTACTTTCTATCTCCTTTTGTTTAAAAAAAAAACAAAACAACAACAACAAAAAAAACCGATCACAAAATACACACGCAGAAAAAAAACCCCACCCCAAAACAACAAAAAAGCCCAAACAAAAACAACCAAAAACTCCCAAACCACACATGCAGGAACCTGGAAACTGAGCACTGGAAAGCTGCTCTGCCAGCTGCTGTGGTCACTCGTCCATGTGCCCTTACAACGACTGGGCAGAGCTCACTGTGCATCCTGGCTGCACAGATGACAGTCACTGAGCAATTGCACATGGAAAGGCTGTCTGGAGGTTATGTAGTCAAACCAGCTGCTCAAAGCACATCTTAGAGATTAGATGAAGCTCTCTCAGGTCTTGTCAGAAGAGCCAAGTATCTACAAGCCACAGCTGAAAAATATCCCTGTGCAGAATTTAACTTCATCTCTAGCATGCACAAACTTCCTCTTGTGCTACAGAGCCTTACGAAACTCTGGGATTGCCAGTAAAAAGTGCATCTGGATCAATTCTCAGGAGTGCCCAGCAAACACAGATATATGGGGAGTCTGGCTGATTGTGTCACAGAAAAGTTCATCCACAGCCATGTGCCATTGCCAGGAAGTATAAATGACAGTTTGCAGTAGCAACCTCGTTACCCTGTAGGGCACAGAGCTATTACTAATATCTTAAAGTGCTTATTCATTCAATTCTTTTTTTATTTATATCCAAAGCGTTACACAGGTAAATATATTGGGAAGACTTAGGAAATAATTATTTTGTCTCCAATCAGTTCCAAAAGTTTCTTTCCCACTTTGACACAAGCAGAAGACACACAACATCCAGGGGCACGTGGGTCCTAGGGTCAGGAAGTACCACCAGAATTCCCCTCTGAACCGTAACTCAGGCACGAGTTTAAGTTTCCAGCAGTTCCTTCTCAAGCACAACCTCCTTTTGTCCTTGGCTTCTCTCTGACAGCTGTTTGTGTTCCTTTTCCCAGGGTGCTGCCCTGATTGTCCACAGCAGATCCGTGCTAGGGATCGGTGTGTAACCTGAGGTAGGCAGCAGCACTAACACACAAACCCCTCTGGCTGTCAGTCTGTCTGCCCCTTCTGCCCACCCTTCCAGCTTCCCTGTAACCCCCAGCTGTGCCCTCCCTCATTGTTTCACCATCTGCCGCTGCACTGGCCTCAAACAACCGAGGTACTGCCAGTGCTGCCGTTTTACAAAACACTCCCTTTTGTCTCTCCAGTCTAGGCTGCCAGCGAGAAAAACATGAAGAAAAAACTTGCTGCGTAACTTCTCCCACCCCTTACCCTTTCCCATTCGGCACTGAATGAAGATTTCATTAATCTTCTGTGTTTTGTCACGCAATGAGCTTGTCAATTCCCTCACTAAAATGATTCAAAAATAAAGGCTTTATAAAACCACACCTGTCCCTGTGTGCTGGTGATCACCATGAGGCACAGCTCAGCAGTGCTGCCCGCACCCATGGCTGCTCTAAGCAGAACACGAGGGCAGAGTCTGTATTTCAGATTTCTTTTTCTGCTTATTGCTCTTGGAAAGTTTTTGTGAAAGAATATGAAAAGTTAGCTAGACTTTAACACCCTGATTCAATTGCATGTTGATTTTAGGCTTTACTTCAGCCATTATAATTATATATTAAGAGAAGTTTCAAAGGCACTGTTTGATCTAAAGACAACAATTAGCAAGGACCTGTTCTAAAAACCAAAAATTATTTTTACACCAACCACAAATCAAGCATCTCTTCATTTGCAAAGACTTGCAAACAGCCCTGCTTTTAAGACTCTTTTCATCTCTGAACTCCATTTTCAGGAAGTGTTTTCAATTTTCTCCTGAAAAGCTCACCACCTAAATCATGCCCTTCACTACAGCACACTCCCCGGAGAGACATTTCCTGGTCCTATGCCAACAAAACCGTGTCATTTGCTACAGCTGGCATAGTTCACCGGCCCGGGGCAGCTCGGGGCAGCTCAGGCCAGCCCCAGCCCCAGCCCCAGTCCCGGCCCCGGCCCCAGTCCCGGCCCCGGCCCCGCTCCCAGTCCCGGCCCCGCTCCCAGTCCCGGCCCCGCTCCCAGTCCCGGCCCCAGTCCCCGCTCCCAGTCCCGGCCCCGCTCACCGGCTGGGCTCCGCGCCGCCGCTGCCTGCGCTCGCCCGGCGGAACCGAGACAGAGCCGGAGCGAGTTCCGCCGCCGCTGCTGCTCGTGCAGCCCCGCACAGGCACCGCCCGCCTCGGCCGACACCGCCCCGCTGCCAGCCCCGCCCCGCCCCGGCCCGGAGCACCTGTGCGCCCATCCCGCTGCACCGCCCCAGGCTCTGTACGAGAACCCGAGCCCGGTGCTGCTCCGGGACGGGCGGGGACCGCGCTCCCGCCGCTCTCCGTCCCGGCGCCCCGAAGGCGGCGGCTGCCCGTGAGCGGCCCGGCGTGTGTTGAGAGGCGGCAGCCGCGCTCCGCACAGCCCGGGCCAGGCCGGCTCGCTGCGCTCGGCGCGGTACGGCTCGGTTCGGCCGAACTCGGAGTCGCTCGCAGGGTTGGGCCGAACTCGGCTCGGTTCGGCACAACTCGGAGCCAATCGCGTGGTTCGGCCGAACTCGGAGCCGGCTGCCGGGCTCGGCCGTACTCGGCTCGGTTCGGCCGAAGTCGGAGCCGCTGGCTGCGTTCGGGCGAGCTCGGTTCCGTTCGGCCGAAGTCGATGCCGGTCTCCGGGTTCGTCTGAGGTCGGCTCGGTTCGGCAGAACTCGGAGCCGCTGGCTGCGTTCGGCTCCGCTCGGCTGGGCACCCTGAGGGCGGCGCGTGGCGGGCCGAGGCGCTGTAGCGGCCCCTTATCGTTTAACAGCGGGCTCCCCTCACGGCTGCGTCCGTCCGCGCCCTTTCTCTTGGGGTGCCCGGCTGCGAACGAAGGGATCGCCGGGGCCATGGGCTGTCAGTTTCCCCGAGGAGGTTCCGGCAGCGAGAGACAGGCGTGTCACATTTCACACGAGACCTGTTCGTGGTCCGAAGCTGAGCCAAATCGAGCCCTGCTCACCCGGGCTCGGCCGAACAGAAGAGACCATTATGAGCCGGGCAAACCGAGCCGAGCCCGGCCGAACCCGGGCTGCTGCTCTCGTGCCCATTAATTAGCGCGAGTGCAGCCACAGCCTAATGATCTCCTGCCCATCCCGCGCTCCCGTCCGTGTCCGTGCGAGGGCCGGGCCGCCCGCGGGACGCGGCAGCACATCCCCGCTGCCGCCCTTAGGGAGCCGAGCGGAGCGGAGCCGAGTTCGGCCGAAGGCAGCCAGCGCTCCGAGTTCAGCCGAACCGAGCCGAGCCGAACGCACCAGCGGCTCCGAGTTCGGCCGAACTCGGCCGACCTTTGCGAGCGGCTCTGAGTTCGGCCGAACGGAGCCGAGCTCAGCCGAACCCCGCAAGCGACTCCGAGTTCAGCCGAACCGAGACCTGCTCGGCCGAACCTAGTCGAGCTCAGCCGAACAGAAGAGAACCTTACGATCTGGGCTGAACCGGGCCGAGCTCGGCCGAACGCAGCCTCCTGCTCTCGTGCCCATTACTGAGCGCGTGTGATGGAGTTTTGGGCCAAAGCATTTCCCTGCCTCTGTTTCCCTCTTGCCTTCCCTGTGCTGTCTCAGCCCGCTGAACTTCATACCCCAGAACCGCCTGGTCCTCTTGACCTTGCAGTAAATCCCATCTTCCCTACTTCTCTCACGTCCCTCTCTTTACTGCATTCCTTAACTTAACAAACCAGCCCTGCCCCGTGAGCTGTTTCCAGTCACGCTCCGCCTGGCTGAACCCGCTGCCGCCTCAACAGCGCGCCCTGGCGGAGCCGAGCGCTGCCGCGGCCCCAGCGCCGCTCGGGCAGGGCTCACGGCCGGGCCCCGCCGCGGCTCCTTCCCGCTCGCTGCCCGCGGCACGGCGGCGGAGCGGAACAGCCCCTGCCGCCGCCTGTGTCCCTGTCGGGCCCTGCCCGCTCCCGGAACGGGCTCACGGCCGGGCCCCGCCGCTCCGCCGCCGCCTGTGTCCCTGTCGGGCCCTGCCCGCTCCCGGAACGGGACCCGTGTCCCAGAGGGCCAGCCGGGTCGCATCCCACACCAGAGCAGTTCCTGTCCTGACTGCCCCCCGTGGGCCTGCAGGCCAGCAGCACCCCACGGCTGTCACACACTGCAGCCCCCTGGGATGAAGAGGCTCATTTCTGCAGCACGCTTTATTCCACACGAACACCAGCCTCGCTCGGCGCTTACCTCCGGAGTCTTTCTTCTTTCCGGTAAGCAGCTTGATGGAGAGGCCTGGGGCAGCACGGAGGGACTGAGCCTGCTCTGCACAGAGCACCCCTCTGCCCCCAGCACAGCAAAGCCTGGGTGCAGACTGCAGGAGCAGATCAGCAGAGGCTGACATGCCAGGGAAAGTCCAAGTGCTCCTTCTCGGGGAAACGTCAGCAGCTCTTGCTGCCCCTGGGATGCTCCAGGGGAGGCTTTGACAGAGCTGCTGCGCTCTGCACCTGCCCTGAGACTCGTTAGGGACAGGCATGCAATGAGGCCTGCACCGCAACAGGCAGCCAAGAGAAACGTTGTGTCAGCACCTGCAAGAGCTGCTCTCAGCTTTAATTCCTACACTGCACTTCCCACAGTTCCCACCCTTCCGAGGGAACAGCAAGTGCCGCAGCACCATTACCAAGATGTCTCCTTTCAGCTCAGGCAACACGAGGCAGAGCACAGGCCAAAGGGACAATGACTTCCTAATCTGCTTTTCTTCCCCTTGCAAGAAGCCAAGCTTGAACCAGACATCAATGGCTTTCCCAAGGATTATCAGGCAGCTGCCATCTTCTTCTACCATGTCCAACAGATCACCATTCCAAGCTGGATTTCTCCACATGACATGCAAAACCCCAGCAGGCACTGTACTGCCAAGGCTGGGCACTGCCGGGGAACGGCGAGGCCTCCGCAGCAGGAGCGGTCGCTGCTTGTGGCACCCTCAGCTGCGCCGGCACTTCCTCTTACCCGCACTACAGGTCACGTCAGCTCCGATGCCGGCAGCAGGTGCTCTTCACCATGTGAAATATGCCAGACTTGGTGGCACAAGCAAAACCAGGTCCTGGCTGCCCCCGCGGAGCTTCAGACCCATTACCTCCTGCCCTTGCCCTAGCCCCAGGTAACACGAACCAGCACAACTCTCCTCACACCTCAAGGCACCAAGGTCTCAGTGCTGCAGGCCCCCACCGGTGGCACAGGGAATCGTGTTTCTCTGGAGATCAGCAGCAGATCTTGTAGCTGTGGAGGGTGCTCCTCTGAGGAGTTTTTGGCAACTCTGGCTTTGGGACTTCTACAGGATCCAGTTGTCTCATTCCAGTATTCCAGCTCACACGACTGTATTACTTTTCAGTCACTTCCTAACTGCCTTTTATCAGGAAATATTACAGGCAAGACACAGCCAACAGCAGCTAACAGGAACTTCAGAGATTCCATGATTTGGCCACACCTTATCTAAGAGCAGTGCAAGAATTAACCCTTTTACCAACTTTTTGGGTAACTGCTAACAAACACAAGAAGTAAAAAAAATCAGGGAACTGGGGGCAATCACTTCTGCACCATCAAAACTCAATGACACTACAGCGGAGAGTAAGCAACTGTGATCTGTTTTTTTTTAAAGACAGCTCAGCTCACATTCCTCCCAGCACCACTGCAACAACCATTTAAGCTGCATCCCGCAGCTAGATGCTGCAGCCTGGCAGGGCGTGCAGGAATCCCAGCTGGCACAGGTCTGAGAGGAGTCCCAGAGGAGCTCACATCCTCCCTGGGCCACATGCACACCCCAAGGTGAGAGAAGCCACCAAAGTCAAACACTGGAAAGCACCCGGTGCTGTGCTGCTGCAGCTTGCCACTGTCACCGGCCAGGTCAGCAACGATGTTCTTACAATCTTTTCTGTGAGCGGGGGCTGCCAGGGCTCTACAGCCACCTGCATGCAAGAGAATTAGGGACATGGATAAATGCTGCAGACATCAGTAGTTTATTGGCATGTTTAGTCAAAACACATTCAGAATGGAAACTTAAAAGTAAAGATACTTTCCACCTGCAACAATTAAACTAGAATCTACTAGCATATAATGCTCGACAAGTTACAGCAATAAAGATGGTAATCCACTGTCTCGAATACCTACTAAAGTCAAGATGGTCAGCCAAGTTTGTTGAAGTAGAACCGTAATGACAAAATACTCCCACCATTCACAAATCAGCGACTAACAGTAATGGTCAGTGAATCCCTTCCTTTGCTCTAAGAGGTACATTTACTATTCAGAGGGTCAAGAACACGTAAGAGTCCACAGTACAGCAGGTGAGCTATCACCATGTAAACTTCTCTGGATGATGTTCCAAGGGTTCGTGTCACTTAAACAAGAAGCAAGCCAAAAAGCAGAATGGCTC